GAAAAAGGCTTGATGATCTTCTCTAACGACAACTTCGCGGAGAGCATTGGCTTCAGCGCTGAAGGATCGCTGCAGTTTAGCAGCTACGAGGAAGACTCCTTCCAAGGATTGAACGAGATCGACGAGTTGTTGCTGATGGACGACGGCAGCAGCGGCGATTGGATGGAATTGGATGATATCTACGGACAAGGCGATGGAAAAATGCTGCCGGAGAACACCGTGACCGTCGAGGTGTCTTTCGGCTTCTGCGCTCGTCTCATCGCGATCTTCCTCACTTTGAATACCTTGCTTATGTTAAAATACCTCATAGTCGATATTATGTATTGCAATTACTCTTAAAGGTGGACCAAAAAAAAACAACAAAATCAAACAAAAAAGATACGTCGAAAGTGTGTCGACTTTGATTTGGCGTAACCTATCTCAAGGTGTCGAGCAGTATGCAGGTTCGCTGCGAAGGAAAAAAAAAGAAGACGAGCACCACGGTTCGTGTCGATGCAAGGCGAGGAGGGTTCTTTTTTTAGAAGCCCTCCTTCTTTTGAATGCTCGCTTCATGTAAACCATTTAGCGCATCGGGCATGAATTATGTATAATTTAGTCGGGGCGAATGAAGGGAAAGACGAAATGCTCTAAAATTTCCGATATTAAAGGAAGTAATAATCTTTCTTTTTACAACATACAGTTAAAAATACGGTTGCTACCGTAATTTTAGCTAAAGGGAACAACATTGCTGCCAAATATTAAAATATAATGATATCACTTTTATATTAATAAAGTTAATATTGTTGAATAGGTTAATTGATACTGTTTTCATTGATGTTTAATATTAAAAAAAGGCATCATTAAGATTTAGTAAAACCCTACTTGATCTCTCTTTAATATGGAACAATTGTCATATTTAACACTTATATTTTACTTGCTTCTAAATAAAAAACTATATAATTTTTAATTAAATACTAATTTCATGAATGCGTTATAAATGATAAACATAAATAAAATGAAGAAATTTATACCAGTTATGTATTGTAAATAGGCTGCATTCATAATAAGTAAAACAATAGAAAAAATCCAAAAAGAGCGAGTCTCGGCAGGAGGAAAACTATCATCATCGTGCTAAGTGGTAGCGTCAATAAGCACCGAAGGGGAGGTAGAAATTGGGCTATAAAGAACAAAGAAAGGTAGCATGGGAATTTGTATAAAACGAACGGGTGTATCTAATCTTGAACTATTTAAAATAACGTGGCGGTAATGTATTTCTCAAATAATCAACTAAAACGAAACATATTTTAATGATCAATTTAACATCATATAACAGTGGAACCTTGCTTAACGAGCTTAATCTAAAATTTCCGGATTTTTACTCGTATAATGAAACAATTTTTCCCATATAAACTAATGTAATATACGACAATGCGTTCCATTTTGCGAGTCATTTTTCATAAAATTTATTTTTATCGTTATGCGAGGACACTCAAAAACAATAAAAAATATAGATAAAACAAAAAATCACTAATATAACTGCCATAATTCTACAATCAAATTAAGAAAGTAAATTCTGAATATGAATGCATATCAAATCTGTTTTTTTGTACAAATTAATTAATGAGAAATTATACTATGAAATCAATATAATGATTGATTAATTAATTATTTATATGAGATTTTATTGTCATTCCAATATATTTCCTACGTAATTTATAATTTAATTTAAATATACGTATTTTATATATTAATGGTATGTAATTTTATTATGTTGTGTATTGCGTGCGACGCCGGCATTTGGCATCACGGTTAATGCCCTTTTGTTCTTAATTCATTTGCAGTATAAGAAAAAAAAATATATGATTTTTTTCATTATATTTTGAAATCGCAATCTAGTTTTTAGTCTCGCGATTATTTATTCAAGAATTGTAATTCATGATTTTTCAGTTTAGGTTGTCATTAATAATATAAAATAATAAATAATATTTATTAACTTTTCATTCTAAACACGTAAAGCATTTTTTTTTTAATTTATAGTAGTAGTAAAATAAGATAAATTATAAAGAGACGAAAAACCTATTGTTAACTATGTTTTTATAAAGACTATTTCAATTATTATATATGAAAATGATATTGAATTATGTTATTGATAATTCTAACTTTATTCTATCGTAATTTTTATTTATCCAATATAGCAAGTGATAGATTCAGTTACTACTAGATTAGTAAACAGTAAAATCATTATAATCATTTAAAATATTAAGCATTATTTATGAATGTAACTAAACACAAGTTTAGTAATTAGATTTAAAGTTTATAATAATCTGTTTTATTAGACTCAAATTTTATTTAATCTGAATTAGTTTATGTCGATTTTATAGGGCAACTAATAGCCGAATGGCTAAGTAGCCCTACCCACGATTCCGTGGGCGCCTGTTCGAATCCTGGTCAAGCCAGGCCCTTTGTGTGCCATCTTGGTGCTTGCAGCAGCAATAGGGCCATCGTTCATCATGAATGTACAGTCAAATGAAAGAGGTTCAGCATATGGACCTTCAGCCAAGACAAATGTCTACCGCCATTAGATATAATTAATTTTCACAGTAATAAGAATGTAAATTAAATATATTACGACATAATAAAATAATATATTGATTTTATAGCTAGTTATACTCTAATAAATCAAAATGTTTGAATCTTTACCTTGCAAAAATAATTTTGTATACTATATTTTTAACATTTAGACGTTTTTTTTTCAAACCGGACTGTAGTGAATCCGCTTTATTGAGCAAAATAAATTTAGTCAAAATTCTTAAAATATCATTTTACTTTTGAGAAGACTTCATATTTTTTTCCACACAATTGATCAGATTTCGTTGTTCCAATAATCTTATATTGATTCATTATTATGTTATTATTTCTCCACTTTCCAAGCACTAAGATATTATGTAGTTAGAATTACAGAAAATGGTACAATCTTTCAGGCTATTTGAATCTTCTTAGGAAATTGTTGTCCAAAATAATGTCCAAATTAAGCATTTAATACTAATAAACTGTTCGATACTCAGTTTAATTCCATGATTAAAAATACGAAACTTGTTTTCTCTAGTTAACTGTCACAATTCTAATGTATCCTTTGTACAATGAATTAGTGAACTATTTCGGTTAGTATCAGAACTAAACATAAGCATTCTAAACTGTTCAATACCAGTTGCGGTTGTCACAAATAAGTATACAGGCATCAAAACTTCGATATAACAAAGCCCGAGATTTCAAGCAGAATTGAAGTTATCCAGATGACTCAATTTGAATACTGTCTATAAAGAGTATGTTTGAAATTTATTGTGTGCAGAAGATGATAGTTTTTAAGTGGAAGACAAAATTTAAATACAAAGATCGTGTCAACAACTAAAGATTTAAAAATAGGTGCTTCAATTACATTGAACATGTTTTTTAGTGTAAATGATTCTGATATAGAACGAAGTTTTATTGTTGAGCGATCGGCACAAAATCGCACAAAAAAAATATTTGAATTTTTATAAAATCTTACATATAACAAATAACTTTGTACAATACATTACACTTAGAAAATACATAAAAGATTTTCGAAATACATGAGAAAGTGCAACCAAACTAAATAATTAAATTACACATGGAATTTTTTTTTAAAACATTTCATTTCTCATTGTACATATGGAGAAATTTTCAAAATGCACATATATAATTCACTGCTACTCATGTTAATCCATCTTCTTTTGATGAATTGGTTCAAAATCGTTTGAGCAGGCACACTGATAGAAAACATTACAATAGTGCCAACACTGTTGAATTTCATATAGCGCATAAAAAATCGCACAAAAACAGTTTCTACTGCATTGGCAATTAATTGTTCAATGAAACAGAGATAATCATCTTTTGATTATAAAATGTGAATTCACTTTGTCATAGTTTCGTATGTAAGTAGTTTGTATTGACTGTTTGTATTGAGTTTTAATAAAACTCTTCCATGTTAAAAAAAGGTTTCCAATTTTTTCACGAAAGAAATATATACCCATTCTGGCCATTTACTGGCGTATTATACCTCTGAAAAAATGTTCCTGGAATGCATCCTTTTCGTTAAGCGTGGAGGTAAGACTTTAGTTTATTATGAAAATTATATTCAAAAGTCTTCAAACAAACTGTTAAATATATTTATAAGGAAATATAATAAATGCATTATGAAAAAAGAAAAAAAATATATGATTTGAATGAAGTAAAATTGGTTACAATCAGATTTTGTTTCTATTTTGCTGAGTGTAATGGTTAGTAATGAAATTATATGCATTATTCGAGAATTACCCGAGTTATATATGGAGTAGAATATGGTAATTCTTGTAGGACACTTATATAAAACGGATTATATTCAATACAGTAACAAATCAAATAATTTTTGTCTTTTTGAATAATATATCTTAGTCAATCTAAAGAAAATAAAATGGAAATTAAATCCATGGCATACAATTCTCGAGGTCAAATAGTATGTAAGAGTATTTTACTTCTTATAATTTTCTCGAGTAATTTTGCGTATTCAAGTATTTCATAAAATTATGCAATATTATTGAAACATAATACTCTATACTGTGGAACCTCGCTTAACGAACACCTCGCATAACGAGCATTTCGCTTAACGAACAAAGTGAATTGTAAGAAAAATGACTCGCTTAATGAGCGACGTTTCGCATAACCGGCGACGAGAAGAAGAGAAGTCCCGGGTTGCGTGCCTGCTCTTCATTTATAAAAGTTGTACACATGTGTATTTTTGAATATGCTTCACTATACGAGTAAAAATCCGGAAATTTTGGAACGGATTAAACTCGTTAAGCGAGGTTCCACTGTATATTTTTATTTATTTATAATAAATGTGGTTTATTATTCATTATTTCTTTAATTACATTAAATTCCTTTGTTAATTACTTAAGCAAAGATAAGAGTTGAGAGAAAGGAAATAAGGAAGATAACGAATGTTAATGCAGTTATATTATTACCTTATCCGTTGAGGCCACGCGGAGATGAGGCAACTGCGGTCTTCAGCATGACACCTCTGCAAAGGAGTGAACGAAAAACTGCCGGAGCCCTGTAAAAGAAGAAAGAAAAGAAACGAATGAGTATTTTCAATCAATCGAGAGGATAGCGAATAGAGTTGGCCATGACTTCCAGCGTAACTTATATTTAAATTTTCGCTTCTTTTTTTCTGAGTTGGCCTCATCGTCTCGTATTTACTTACGACGCTCGGCCGTAAAGGATTTCGCATTTCAAATATAAAGTGTATAAATAAATATGTGCGAGCGAGACGAAGTGTGCGGAAAAAATGCGGATTTAATTTTCGCTTCGTTTTTTATTATGTATTGCCGAGACTTTTCGGAAGATGAAGGAAATAGAAAAAAATGAGTTGTTGTGTATGTTTTGGTTATTAGGCGAGAAAGATAAATGGACCGTGGTGTAGAGAGAGATAGATATAGAGAGCTGGAGGTCTCTGTTACGAAACGGAGCGCGTCGCGACGCACCTGCTCGACGGGCGTCTCGCGGCGCCTCCGCCAGCGCAAAATAAACGCAGAAAAATAATAAAAAAAGAAAGTATAGTACCGTTCCCCACCAGGAATCTTCACATCCAACAGAGATGAATGTATTCGGTATTTTAATGCGTGGAATAACATTTACTCAAGATTATATTTTCAGGGAAGACTCCGCAAAATGCGCAATTTAAAGTTGGTCATATTGCATCTTAGGCAAGCATTGGCTATTCATACACACACACATACACATATATTATGTTTCTGTGGTAAGTAACAGTTATTACAAATGCTGCGCGATGATTAAAATGCAAAAATTACACATTGCAAGACTCGAGAAGTTGAAAATGAAATTTTCTAAAGAACTATAATTATAATGAAGTTCTCTTGCTTTTATCTGCGCACAGCATTCTTTTTTTATTTCCTAACAAGAAAAATAAAGAACAAACGATTTTTAATAACTCAACCGGAAAGTCTATATTTCTAACTTTGAATGCAAATACAATTGGCTTCTTTAGCTTCTCTGTTTTAGTCAAGCATTTGAAGAGATTACCTACAAGAATGACCAAACATAAGCTATTTTTTAATTGAATTGACTAGGTGATCGGTAACATGACGTTGCAAAGTGAAGATGATACATTTGGTAACTTGGACAAGTGGCATCAACTTAAAGTATTTTTAATAAATAATTGTATACCAATTACACTACTGAGAATACGAACTTGATATGTTTTGTTTATGGTTTTCTTAACCTCTTAATGCAGAATGTACCTACAACAGTATGCAGGAGAAAACAATATTTTCAAGCAATGATCGGGTGTAGCATATTTAGTTCATTCCTATTTTAAAATATACACATGCTGCCAACTGTTAGTGTAACTAGAAGAGTTAACAGTACGTAATTGATAGTTAATATGCAAGTTAAATTTTTATGAATTAATTCCGGCGTTAAGAGGTTAAAATTATTTTCAATATTGTCATTCAAAAAGAGGGCATGCTTAGCTAACATGTGAACAACTTAAATTATGTAACTAACATAAGTCATAACGAGCATAATCCGTTCCAAAATGTCCAGATTTTTACTCATACAAACTAATGTAATATACGATAATGCGTTCCATTTTCAGAGTCATTTTTCTTACAATTTACTTAGCTCGTTAAGCGATATGCTCGTTATGCGAGGTGCTCGTTAAGAGAGGTTCCACTGTATTTTAAAGAGTTAAAATATTACCCAGTATTAAGAAAAAGTATATATAATGCTGAATTTTAATTACGCAATACTTTCAAAGTAATTTGTCAAGTATAGCGTAATACATACGAGATTGTCAAGAGTCGCAACAAACAAACCTGATTTACATTCTATTGTTTGAATACGGTTGATAGAAATAGGTTAGTGGTCAGCAGGAGTGTTACTTCTTAACAATTACAGATACAATTCATAAATTGAATTGATTGGTAAGGTGAATTGTTGAGGAGACGTAGAAGAGTTAAGAGATATAAATAATCATATATACAATAGACTATTGAAACATCTCATCAGTTGTCAACTGGCCTTGTCATTTTTGACAGAAATCATATGTTAATGATTAGCAAACACATTGCACGTGGGTAATGAAGGTGAACATACATTGCGCGTCTCGTTTATTGGCTTTATAAATTTGACAGAATAACTTTACACCTAAGAAAAATGCAAATGACCTAAGTTAATTTTCTTAAATAATTAATACTGATCATATTTTCATTACCTGCTATTTAAAAAAAAGTTAGACAATTTGTGACCGTTATCTTTTTGTTAGTTTGGTATAATTGCTGATGGCCTAATTAATATTGAAATTGATAATTATAAACAGCTCCATCTATAATCGAAAGTTCAGATAAATTAGTCTTCTATTTGTAAGAACTGATATATTAAAAATCAAAATAAATGAACAAATTAATATTCGTTTAACAAAGTCATAATAGTTACAAAACAAAATCTATAATAGAAGCAACATTTGTCTAAATATCTAAATATAAATATCGTTTAATTTGATTGTTAAATCTAATAACGTCCAACATTTTCTGAGTTCTGCGTAGCATTATCAACATAAAAAGTATTTTTATAAACGTTATTTAGATCATGGAAATTCCCGGTATGGTATTAAGTGTTGGTTAACTAATGATCGTTCTAATTTGACAATGACGTTAATGAAACCAATAATGGTGTTTAACTACTCATTTCCTAAGCAACTGATGAAATTTACCCAATTGTGCCCAATTCATGATTATAAAATAACACTAGCAACGTGTGTCTCAGAGAGTACTTGGATATAATACTATTACATAAAAGAGAGTATGTTTTATTTGAGTTGCAAGTCTTAATACTGAACAATAACATAACGGATACTGATTAATGAACTACGAGATACTTTTTAAGTATTTCCAGCAACTTGTTACATGGATAGTATTTTGTAATAGTACTATTGCAGAAAGGAAGTTAATACTTAAGATTTATGTCAATGTTAAGTATTAAGACTTGATTAATGTACTACGCAATACTTGTCATAACAAAACAAACTAGTTTCGCAAGACAAACTGGACATAATATAATGTAACACTGCAAGTACTTGTTTGCGTTGTCAAATATATTTAAATAAAAAAATAATATCTCATCAAGTGTGTAATCACTGGAATTTATTATATAAGTATAGTTATATAAAATATTTTTATTAATTATAATTTAATATTTATTCGGAACTTAGATAAGTTAATATAAATATTTGCGATGATTATGATTTTTTTTTCACACAGAGTAAATAAATAAATTTGCGCCATCTATGTGGATACAAATAAGTGCGAAACTTAAGTTCATGAACATCAATTCAAATGCCATTCATTATTAATGTAACAAGTTAACTGCAACGTAATTTATTATTTAAATCTGTGTCCGCAAAGAACTTACGTTTATTACTAAACGCCATTTGTTGTGGCAATACTTACTGTCACAACACACAAAATTGTTTATTTATAGGAACGTTTCCCAAGGGGAAAATTTTAGTTTGAGAGAAGTTTATCTTTGAGTCCATATAGTGCTGCATCCACACTATTCGTAACATGATAGTTTATATAATAAATGTTTTTAAAGCGTACCAACTACTATGCACACATTGGAAGCATAGTGCGGAATTTCAGGTCGGTTCAATTTCATTGTCACCGGACTCCAAGATAACTCAAGAGTGTGGATGCAGACAACAGCATTAAAAAAAGCTTTTCTATAAAACTACTTTAATGGAATATAGGAAAGTTACAGCCGAATGATGCTTCATAATATATTATTATTTGTTCATTTCGAGAAGATTTACTTTTATTTGGATTACTTTTTTTTCAGAATGCATTTTTTTTAATATGATTTATTGTGACAATTTATGTTTTTTGTGTCTCTGGGTGGAACGACTTGATGGATAGCCGTTTGGTTGCATTGTAACTAATAAAGATTATTATAGGAAAGTTAAAATATATTAAGCGTTATTCTTTAAAATAAACTTTTGGTAGAGGTATGTACAGTAAAAACTCGCATAGTGCGACATTGATCAATGCGGATTCACTATAGCACTGGATATTGGTGAAACCGATTACCAGCAATATGCAAGGAATTACTATATTTAGTTTCCTTTAAACTTTAAAATTGTTTAATAATATACACGCTATAAACATATTTTTTGCAAGTTGCAGTTTCTTTTTTATATCGACTACTCAAATCTTGCCGTTGCGTGATCCTTCTGCTCCCGAGTAATTCGATAATACCATCCGGAGGAGATAGAAAGTTGACTTTCAACCGCGTCCGAGTGGCCAATTAATGCGTATTAATATATAATGCGAGAGCTGTGAAAGGAAAACGAAGGAATGGAACGAACAAAACGAAACGCGGACGAGAATGAAACGTGCTTTTATTGCAATATCTACTTATTTCGATATTCCCGGCAGAATGTTTAAATATGCAAATGTGTTTGCAATACGTTCATGCCATTAAAATCCCGTTAATTAATACATTGGTTCTCTGCACACTTTTTTCCCGACATATTATAATATCACAATTGCAAATTATCTTTCGCAATTTCAATTTTATATTTACTTGTCAAATTGTTATATTGTTATTAGACAGTTTTATAAACATTTTTTCCAGTCTGTCTGTCTGTCATTAATATTGTTGATAATTACGAAAAAATAAGTACAAAATTTAAACGATTATCTTAACTCATCTTATACTGCTGATGTTGTTTTATGACTCAATATTAAAATGTAATGTGTTGACAAAAAAAGGTTTGACATAAATATGACTCAATGGTTGGTAACACTTTTTTTCTGCTATTGAGTCACGAACTTTATAGTACATTGTCATCTAATATAATTCTTTTAACCAATTTGATTTTAATATGAATTTATAAGTTTTATGTAAAATCTGGTGTTTCAATTGAGTAATAATTTTAACTAATATTTAATTATTTTAGCACTATACACGTCAGTTTGACTAGATGACATTTGTTCATAAGTCTTACTATAAACTGTAGTTCTTAGATTTGAGAAATTTTAAATATACTTCATTATTTGAATGTAATAATTTGGCTCAAAATAAAATGTAAGCTTCTGTCAAATTGCAGTCAAATTTTGACATAAATTAGTGTTTCAAATAAATGACTTTAACTTATAATCATAGTTCAATGAAAATACAATAAGATAATTGTCAAAAAAAAATGAAACAATACATTATAGGCAAACAATAAATCACGAAATTATAAGATCATCTTACACTACAGAACTTGATAACTAAACAAGTGGTTCAAATTGCAGGTATAATGCGGAGAGCATGGCAATTTGTTATATACACTACGCAACAGTTGGTAATACATTTATATTTTTCATACGTGTTAATGAATCGCTCGATTTTTGAAGTAAATGCGATATTTCATATATTCGTCATCGATTTTCTTGCTTAGGAATGATGTAAATCCCATCAGAGTATGAGGATTCTCGTCACCCTCAATGCATGGGAAATTGGACAGGCAGCAGCGCATGGAGAAGGGAGAAGGCCAAGAGCAAAGCGGAATCCACGACCCTTCCATGCTCACAGCAACCACACCTTGTGCGATATTTGGAATTTTGGGGGATGATTTGAAACGAAATCAGCAAAAATAACTTTCTGCGAATGAAATTTATTTTTAGGGTTCCACAATAGAGGCACGTTCGTTTCATTTAAGCATCGGTGGTTATTATTAATCAAGGGAAGGGAAGAGCAGTCGTTACGACCTTTTTGGAAAACAATTTCAGACAGACAAGCATCGGCCGCCCATCGGACGTGACCTTGAAGTGTTTTCAGCAATACAACAATTGCCAATTCCTCTTATCGAAATTTAATCCTAATATTTGGTTTGATTAGTATGTGATATTTATGAACAATTTAATGAGTTGTAATAAGATATAAGTTTCAAACTGAAAGTACATTTAAAGTAAACATTTTCCTTATATTTTATTTCTAAATCTTTATTCGCTGTATTTTTTTATCCAATGTATTTTGTTCTTACAACATACTTATGCGATTTCATCATCTATTCAATATTTTTCAACTTTCCCAACTCAAGATAAAGTACTTTAACAGAATGATCTACTACAGAGTAACAAGTTATAAAGAAGCCAATGTTCGACAACTTATTGAAAGATACACTTCACTCACAACGATCAAAATGAACGATTTTCCTATTACCTGGACTTGAGATGAGAAATGTATTAAAAGCACTGTACTGCTTCGTGTTTATCTTAGAATCAATAATTGTCGAAGTATATTTTGTTTGAGTTTAAGACCAGAGCAAACTTGCCTTATCGTCTTTCCGGCTCGACAGATAACTACAATCAATTAACTTAATCGTCTATAGTTATATATTATTTATATAAGGAAATTGCTGTAACAGAAAAGATGAAAAAAATAATTACAGTTAAATTTAACATACAATTTGTCGCATTACAGAAATAAAATAATAATAGTTATTATGATATAACTATAGCACTGTTTCTCAACCTTTTATCACGCTGTTTGTAGATGTACAGCGAACCAATTACTAAGTGTATTTCCCCAGTTCCTCGCTAAGGTGACAACTGTCATTTCAAATTATTAATAACAAAAATAATTGTCAAAATTGTCTTTTTTTTTTCTAAAAATAATTCATAAAAATTGTAATAAACCCGAAACATTTGCTATTTAAATTGAATCTTTCAGTCCGTGTCCGAAGGTCACGCAATCGATGTCATTAATATTGTTCCTGGATTCACGCTGATAATGTTCGCTGTCGTTGATGGCATTGAACGTATTGATCTTGTCCGAACGTTTACTTCCACACAAAACTAATTCAAACTTAATTAAATGAATTACTATTACTTATCTGCTCTCCCGCAACGAATGAAATTAATTCGCTCCGAAGGTCCGAAAATTTATAATTTACATAGTGAAACCGTCGTATCGTGCAAATATATAGTAGCATGTAATGTGAGTAACAAACATAAATGGGCTTTGATGTAATATTTTTTTATTACATTTGTATTTTCTACTTCAATTATTTAGAAGTCCACGTACACAATTCCGCGGGATGGCGCTGCAATCAAAGTTCTAAAATGTATAATTTACATATTGAATTCGTCATATTGTGCAAATAGTACAGAGAAATGCGTCTTGTTATATTAATTTTTCAACGGGTTCGTGTTTTCTTGTTTAATTATTTAAAAGTCCACATACATAGTTCCGCCAGATGGCGCTGCAATCAAAGATCGAAAATGTATAATTTACATAGTGAAACTGGCATATCGTACAAATAATATGCAGTTTAACTCGTATAGTGAAACATATTAAAAAAATACACGTAATATGTGTACACAAGTATTAAAAATGTAGCAAGCGCGCAATCAGGGACTTCTCTTCTCAACGTCACTCGTTATGCGAAATGTCGCTCGTTAAGCGAGGCTCCATTATATATAAAATGCGCATTTGCGCAATAATGAATTTCTAATGAGATTTAAGAATAATTTGTCAAAATTACAGATATATTATAATTTGTAATAAAAAAAATAAAATAATAATTTTTTAATTTAATTTTGGTGACCTTCCAATTTAATGCGAATAAATCTAATAGAAAAAGGATATAATTTGTTAGAGTAAAACCACGCGCATTTGGAAAATAACACAGACGAAGGATTTTGTGGAGAGGCAAAAAAATCCATTTTTACGTCGTAAAGTGTGAAATATAAAAATGAAATATTGTAGTTTGTATGGTCGGGATTGAAATAATTAAACTTCTTTAAAGTGTCAAAAATAAAAGAAGTAAACACACTAGATTTAAAGTAACCTTACTCAAGGGCATTAACAGTTAAGAAACCCGAGCCTAATGCTATTGTGACTAGAATAATTCATTCTACTTGAGTGTCCCACTCTATGGGGACTCATTTGGGCGAGGTTGCGGCTGGATAACAGCTGCGAACGGAGAGATGCAGCGAGACAAATTCGAGCCTCTAATCCTACCTTTAATTTTAACATTAACTTTCCCATCTTCCGCGTAAATCTACGCACGTAACTTGTCCGCAATCTCCTATTGTTTTTTTTTCGTGATATTCAAATGCGAGAGCGTTAACCGAAGGAACGCTCTCACACTGCAAATAAATTAAAATATACAAAGAATAAATAACTATTATATTCATACTTATATAATGTAGCTAATTACTTACATTAAATTCACTTATTTATACTTAATTACAAGTTTACATCATAAAAATATACTTCCATAGACTCGGATAAATTGAGATTAATTATCAATTACATTTATATTCGCAGTTGTTATTTTTAGGTAAAATCATTGAAAAATGAAAATAAATTTAGAGGTAAGTTACTTTGTATTTTCCTTTATGTAACACATATTTATGTATATGATCTTCAGTAAACGGTCCTATATACAGGATATTTTGGTATTATAATGAATCTAAGTTTATATAATTCTCCAGCAACAACAACAAAAAATATGATAAAGGGATTAATAATACATTCATATCCCTTTTAACGCCGAGGGTAATGTATTAATGAGTAACAAACGCATTATATAAACCTTCATGTTCAGAGTATTTCAAAGCCGTGAGGAATTTCGTTCGTCGCTGGGGTTCTTATCAATGCCACTTCATTAATGTTTTGTTCCGCCTCAAATCCTAGGACATAACTTCTTCCACTCTCTTACTTTCGCGCAGTTTAAAGTTACTAAAGTCGCTCTATGTAATTTTGTCAAGTATCGTGTTTCCTTTAGAATAAGTTTGACTTTTTGGTTAGACTTTTTGTTTTATTATTTAAAATAGTAGAAAATTCGTGAAATTACATATTACATATGTAATTGCATATTGTTAGATAACATCTATGATTGAATGATTTGTACTTTATTGAAAATATTTACAGTTTATTGTTTATTTATTTTGCTTAATATCGAGTATCCTTTCAAATATGTATAATTTGGTGTTATTGAAAAACAAAATGAAACTTTTTTTAAAGCCACTTTGATATTATCTATAATTCAGCCAAGTTTTGCGATGTTTATTCATGTGTGTTTCTCAGTCTAAAACTTGCTGTAGAACGGAAAACTTTTGTTGAAAAATTTCTATAGTTAAAAATTAACTTTACATTTTAAAATGCGGACGAGTATGTGAGAAACGCTCGAATCGAGGATATTGAAACTATTTTTTTTTATTTCTATTTTCCATATGTCTATAAAATTATTTATAGTTAGTCTACTGTCTCATGAAATATTATCAAATTGATATTAGCAAAAAAAAAATTAAAAAAAATCAAATCAAATTTCGTAACATTTAGTGTTAATTTCGCAATTTACATTTATTGCAATAATCATAAAAAGTAAACAAAAATAAAAACATATTCATAATTCTTTTTATGATAGGAAGAAATATTGCGAAAGACAACTGACCATAGGTCTTATAGTTTTATTTCATTTATTTAAAATGTTCACGAAATGGTGTTACTATCTAATTAGCATATTTCTGATAAGTCTACGATTTGGAAATAATTAAAAAAAAATATTTTCCACAGTTTTTCTTAGAATAGTTTTTTTAGTGATTATTTTATTTAAATAGGGATCTGAGAGGAGTTCGAAGTACCGCATATAATTGAATCAATTTGGTTGATAATCAAAGGTTGCTTTTCTTTGTAATAGAGTAGGGGGAGGCAACTGGAAAAACAAAAGTGTTCCGTTGTTGCTTCCTCTCTTGCGTCGTTCTTGTTCACCCACAGGTTTCTCCTTCTAATTTCTTTCTCCCCTTAAACGAAACTGAAACGTGTGTTTTGAGCGATTATGTCATGCCGAGTGAGATGTGGAGGCAGCGAGAGAGCAAGAGAATGAACGGTGAGGCGAGGGGCAGGGTTGAAGGCGACGGACGTGGCGTTCTCTCGCTCTTCCTTTCGTACGCGGGGAAGAGGTTCTCTCTCATTCACGTGCGCTTCTCGAAATCGGACAAGTGAAGAGCGAGGGTACTTGAAATAATAATAAGAAGGAGAAGAAGAAGTAGAAGAAAAAGGAACGCTCGGGAAGGTCAACGCGAGAGATTATTTATTTTAGTGCCGGTTTTCGAAGATACTTCTCGCGGGGACTCGAAGCTGCAGGAGGCGGCGGCTGCGGCGGCAGCAGAGGTGGAGGACGGGGGCGGCGGACGCGAAGTCGCGCTTGGACCGGCTTTAAGCGAACTCCTCTCGATTCCGAGAGATCCCCTTTAACGAGAACGCGCGGATCGACTCTCTCTCCTCACTGCTTGCATCTGCATTTTCCAAATACTACCAACTTGGAATTATTTATATACTGAACGCACACACACACTCATCCATACGTACACACACACACACCAGTGGGCACGCATTTAGAGCGACGCCGGTTATTATGACACACATTATTATATGACTTCTACTCGGCTCGTTTGTTTTTCATCGTTTGTCGTCCTTTTTTTTTTCTTCATCTCATTTCTTCGTGTTCTTTTCGGCTCCTAGGAGGAAAACTAGATCAAGATGTTGGCTCTTCTAGGGGCCAGGCCTCGCGCTTCCCTGCGACTACTTTCTTCTATTCATCTTTCAA